TCAGAGGTCTGAGCGCTCCCATTTCACTTTTCTTGCCCATGCTCTGCTGGTTACAGAATGGATTAATAACAGTGCTCAATCATAGGAAGTGCCTGTGTGAAGAACAGGGAGTCTGCTTTTCCATAAAACAGAATAAGACAATGTGAGTTTAATCTGAAATAGGAGATTTGGTTTTCAGTAAGGAAAACATATTATAATGTAGTGGGAATAGCACTGAATCAGGAGTCAGGAGGCCTGGGTTGGAGTTTCATCTCTAACACATACTTACTTCCTCTGCAATATTCACTGGTAGACTGTCCTCTCTGCTGCATGGTTACTTGTTGGTCTTCCTCACTGCTTTCATCTGTTATGTTTGTTGGGCTTTCTATTTGGTTCCTTTACTGCTCTCTGCTGCCATTTGCTATTCTTCTGCTAAATTGTAGTTACTATATAGCCTGGGTGTGGAGTGAGTGACATTGTAGTGTCTTGGTTCTTTTAGTCATAGTTTCTAAGGCTATTTTACCTCTTCTGTGAATCACACTCACAGCCACATCTAGTCAGCCAGAAAAAAAATAGCTAAGATCCTCAGGCTTAGAATTGTCTTTTAAACTTTTTTTCCCCCACATCACTCTTTGGATGAAGCCTCTTTTTGGATTAAGTTTTGTTTTTGAGTTAGAATGGGAAAATGTCTTTTAATTTTAATACTATTCCTGGTTGTATGACCTTGGGTCCATGCAAATCACCTTAGGAACTTCATTTGCCAAAACTAGGGGGGCAGTGTAGAACTAGCAAACTTTTTTCTTCATTATTGATAATACTAAAATTGATGTTAATTATATAAACGTTTCCACAAAATGCTGGAAATTCACACACAATGGGAAATGAAAAATAACAGCTATTCTCTTTCCACAAGCCCAGCTTAAGTGTACCATACCCATAAATCCTTCCCTATTTCTTGTAGTCATAAGTAATCTCCTAGGGTCAGCTAGGTGGTTCACTGGATAGAGCACCAGCCTTGGAGTTAGGAGGATCTGAGTTCAAATGTGGCCTCAGACACATAACACTTACTAGTTGTGTGACCCTGGGCAAGTCACTTAACCCTATTGCCTAGACAAAAAAAAAAAGTAATCTCCTGTTCTACCCCCCTAGCCTCCATGAACTCTAATATTCTCACACAAAATTTATTTATATTTATTTGTACATATTGCCTATTTGTCTCTAGTAGATGGTAATCTACTTGGTGGTTGTGACTTGGGGTCTTATTCATCCTTTCAGAGTTCTCCAGAAGTTGAATGGGCTGCCTTAGAAAGTAGTGGGTACCCTCATAAAGGTACCTTTTCTTTTTTAAAAAAAATTATTCTATTTATTTATATATTTATTTTTAAAACACAGAGTTTTTTTAGTCTTTTTGTTTTCAGCTCCAAATTTTCTTCCTCCTCTTGCCCCCTCTTCCACCCAAAGGGACATTAAAAAACCTTACAAATTTCTGAATTAGCAATGTCAGAAAAAAACAAGAAAAAGAAAAAAGAGAGAAAAATTATGCTTTAGTCTGAGTCTATCAGTTATCTGTCTGGAGGTGGATAGCATGTTTCCTCATGAGTCCTTTGGAATTGTGGTGAGTCATTGTGTTGATCATAGTTACTAACTCTTTTAAAGTTGATTATCTTTACAAAATTGCTGTTACTGTGTGGATTATTCTCCTGGTTCTTTTCACTTTGTTTTGCATAAATTCATACAGGTCTTCCCAGGTTTTTCTGAAATTATTCCCTTCATCATTTCTTATGTCACAATAACATTCTAGGGGCAGCTAGGTGGCGCAGTGGATAGAGCACCAGCCCTGGAGTCAGGAGGACCTGAGTTCAAATCTGACCTCAGACACATAACACCTAATAGCTGTCTGACCCTGGGCAAGTCATTTAACCCCATTGCCTAGTAAAAATAAAAACCCCAAAAAACAAAACAAAACCACAATAACATTCCATTACATTCATATACCACACACAACTTGTCCAGCCATTCCCCAATTGATGGGCATCCCCTCAGTTTCCAGTTCTTTGTCACCACAAAAAGAGCTGCCATAAATATTTTTGTATATATGAGTCCTTCTACTCCTTCTTTGATCTCCTTTGAGTATTAATAGTAGTACTTCTGGGTCAAAGGATATATACTGTTTTGGACATAGTTCCAAATTGTTTTAAGAGGACCTTTTCAAGGAGAGGCTGAGTGACTACTTTTGGGCAAAGTTGTAAAGGAGGTATAGGTGGTATAGGTCATAGATGTAATTATGAGGTCCCTTCCAACTCTGGGGTTTATGATTCTGTATCCCCTCATAGTGCCTAGCACAGAGACTTGTACCAAGTAGTGCTCAATATTTGCTTGCTGACTTGAATGCTGATTTAAAATAATAGAAAATAACAGCAATTTACATATAATGTAAAATGTAAACAAATCATCAAGAGTTATGAAAATATTTTAGGGGTACTCTCCCTTTTATGCTTTAAATACAGTGGACATTCCCATGGCTATTTAGCAATCAGTATTGCATCACCATGTCTCAAAAGGTACTCAAGGTGAGAGGAGATTAATTTCCTATGCAGTTTTAGAAAACACTTTAACAACTCAAAAATTTCAATAGGGTGCCAGACCTGGAGTCAAGAAGAATTTCCTGAGTTCAAATTTGGCCTCAGACATTTACCAGCTGTGTGACCCTGGGTTAGTCACTTAACCCTGTTTGCTGCAGTTCCTCATCTGTAAAATGAGCTGGAAAAGGAAATGGCAAATTATTCCAGTATCTTTGCCAAGAAAACCCCAAATGGGGTCATGAAGAGTCAGACATAACTGAACAACAATAATTTCAGCATGGTACTAAAGCCTATTATGGTAGCCAGCTGTGCTAGGACCTAGGATCTAGTCAGACAATCAGATCTGTCTAGTTCTAAAGATCTAAAAAAGTTTCTCCACTATCTGTGTGCCAGATTATAGCTCCAACTGAAGGCAGATTAATAGACTTGAATCGGCTTTCATGATTTCTTCTAACTCAAAAATTCAATGATATTTAGGTAGTGGGAAGGGTTGCCTTTATTTTTATCCTTAGGCAGAAGAGATTTGTGGGGTATGATTTCTGGTGTTTCAGAAAGATATCAGGCCCTTCCCAAACCCAATCCTCTTTCATTCACCCATTTACTGATGCCTGAAATTCCAATCACTCAGTAAGTATTTATTAAACAAATACTGTGTACCTACTATTGTGCTACATAGAACTGAGGTTATTCATAAAGTCATAGACCATCAGAGCTGGAAAGAACCTCAGAGATCATCTGGTCTAACCTCTTCTTTGTACAGATTAAGCATTTTAAGCTCTAAATGTGAGAGATGAAGTGATGTGCCCAAAAACAAAGAAGCAGTTAAAAGCAAAACTGGAACTTGACAGATCTGGGAATAGAGACAGAGCTCTTGGATCCTGGATCAGAGCTCTTTTCACTAGACGATGTTTGTGTATTCTTTATGCCGGAATCCTCCTAATACAACCAAAGGGGTGAGATTTCAAATTTGCCAGAAAGGTTCCTAATGCTCTGCAGAACTGCATTACTTTAGCTTAAGGCTTTATTCCCTATAAAAATGCAAATACTTTTGAAGTGGCAGCCAGGCGGTGAAGTAGAAAGAGTTGTGGACTTGGAATCAAGAAACCTGAATTCAAATCCAGCTTCAGAGATTTATTAGCTATGTAACTGTGGGAAACTTGATCTTTCTCAGCCTTATTTTCCTCGGTTCAGCAGTCAGTGGCAACATGAGATATTTAAGATATTTAGATCTGGGAATCTCTGATAATGATTAAACTCATGAGAGCTGATGAAATCATCAAGAGAGAGAGAAGACCCGTATTCTGGGGGATGCCCAGCATATCAGATTGAAGGAGAATGATAAGCAAAAGAAGGAAGCACTCAGGAGAAGGGTGTTAACGTTTGTTGTGTGTTGGTTTTAGTAGTGATTGTCAACAGTTTCAAAAAGAGCAGAGTACAAACAAAATGAGAGAAGGCCATTGAATTCAGCAATTAGATCTTTGTAATTTTGGAGAAAGCAATTTTAGGGGATGACTAGGGCTGGAAGCCAGCCTGCAAGAGGTTGTAAAGTAAGTGATAGATTAAGCAATAGACAAGGAGTATAAATACCTTTTGTTTTTAGGAATTTGGTCGTGACCAGGCTATAGAATGATGATCTGAGGGGATGGTAGGGTCAAATGCAAGGTTTTTTGTTTTGTTTCATTAACTTTGTTTTTAGATTGGAGCCAGGGTCAGGTTAGGCAGCTAAGTGGGCAGTGGATAGGATGCTAGGCCTGGGGTCAGGAAGAGTCATCCTCCTGAATTCAAAACTGGCTTCAGATAGCTGTGTGACCCTGAGGACGTCACTCAACCCTATTTGCCTCAGTTTTGTCATCTATAAAATGAGTTGGAGAAGGAAATAGCAAACCATTCCAGTGTCTTTGCCAAGAAAATATTAAATGGGGTCACGATGAGTCATACATGACTGAACGACAAACAATAATATGGTCTTGTAGGTAACTTGGAAAAAGCCAATCAATGGGCCAGGAAAAATGGAAGATGAGAGTGAGTGATTGGAGACCACAATGTGGAGGGGGAAGGGATAAGATCAATGGCACAAATGGAGGGGTAGGGCCCTTTGCTTGCCCAGAAACTCTAGCAATGGTACACACTTTGCGACTTTTTTCATTTTTCCTATGACCAGCCCAGAAAGTGAGCCAGTGTTCCCTAACTTTTCCATTTCACCTGCCCCAGATCCAACTTTAAATGCAACCCATGCAGACACCAGGTGGCGTCCGGGTACTTTTTAACGGCGAGTCGGCTATGGCTTGTACTCGTGGCTTTTCTCCTCGAAAGCTCTGCTGGAAGAATGACTCCTGAGAACTGCATTTACTGAAGCGCAGACGCGAAACGGTGCCCAAGGGGCCACCTGCCTCCTCCATGCAGCTTAGCTGTGAAGGAGACTCCTAGATTGAAAGTGACCGAAAGAATTCAGGGCGGCGGCGGCGGCGGTGGAGGTTGTGCAGCTCCTGCGGGGGGTGGGGTGGGGGTGGAGGTGGGAATGGGGAGCTTATTAGAGTTCGGGGCACTGATCTGAGCTGGGGGCTGTCTCGTTCAAATTTGACTGGGGCCAGGCTGGAGCACCTCTCCTGGGAAGAGAATTGAAGGATGGTGGTGGACACTGCGTATGCTAGGACCCTGGGGAAATCCTTAAATGCAAGGGAGGGAGCAAGTGCCTTGTAAAAACACTGAGGTTTTCACCGAGTCTCTTCCTCCAGCCCCCTCCCCCTACCCCCGCGGTGCTATTTGGCCATACTTTTTTCCTGTAGATTACTTGGTCTTCACAATTCACTGCCTCCGCCCGTAAATCTCTCCATCTATTCTTTGTGTGGGAGTAATTTACGCTTGGTTAGAATATGTGCAGTTTCACAAAACGGGGACCCTATTAAGCACTCTCTTTCCCCAAGTACCGAGTGGCATTTACAGATAGTAGACAAAGAGTGGGTGGCAGGGAAATGCCACTTGCGCCATCAGCTACCACGGGCCCCTGTTCTCTCTACAACGAAACAGTGGGCTACATTTATTACTCTTTGAGGGACGCGGGAAATGAAAGCCAGGCGGGTGTTGTCTTTGTATCCGCAGCTCCTTGAAAAAGGAGGCTCTTGATAAATGCTGCGACTGGATTGAGGAAGCAAGGAGTCTCATTCTCTTCCCCTCCTCCCCTCCCCCCCAAATCAGCGACGAGGCTGTATTTCAAATCTTCCTTTCTTGGGTGCTTGTAGAATTCTTAGTTCCTGCAAGAAGGCAGAAGTCAGTTTCTCTTCTCTACCCCTCCACCCCCCCGCCATGTAGAATCAAACCATCAGCTAGCTAAAATACTACAGTAGTCGAGAGTCCTAGGGATCTCAGGGCTAGTGGGATGGGGTGGGGGACATAGTCACGGGAAGAAAAAAGAAAGAAAGAAGCCAAGAGTGTCTTGAGAAGCTCCAGCACCTGCAAAATTCATCGATTGTAAAATTCCTTATATCCTCGTGCAGAGTCCAAAACCTAGCTTTGGAGAAATATGTGACTCCTTTAGAGAGTAGAGCCCCAAACCTTTGCGTGCTTAAAAGTCCACGTTTCCCTGTCCACAAAACTTGGGGATGGAAGGGAACTAGTAGCCCGGCACCCCGGAGCAGGGACCACTTCTTGAAATCTCTCACAGTTGGGGGTGGGGGTGGGGTGAAGAGTGGGAGGAGGAGTGGGGCGTCTATGTAGAGATGGATGGTGATTTATCCCTCCTCTCTCTCCACCCCACCCCACCCCACCCCACCTCCCACTCCCAGGAGCAACCCCCCCCCCCTTAGCCTTCCGCTCTATAATTGGCCTCCTGCTTTTCTTCGTCTTTCTTCTTATCAGATCCAGGTCTCCCAGAAGGAGGGAACAGCTGGAGAGAGACCCTAAAACACCTCCTGGAGGCAGGGAGAGAAAGGAAGAAGCTAAGAGAAAAGAGGAGAAGGGAAGAGGGAGAGAGCGAGTCCTGGGATAGCCCTCGGAGGAGCTCTGTTCTTTTCCCAGGCACCAAGAGTTCCCCCTCTCCAAGTACCTTGCCCTCGCACAGGTCAGTTTCAAGCTTCTTTTCCCTTCATTTCCTAGCCTCCTCTATGAAAGTCGGAGAGTCACCTGTCAACTTCTTAACATCTCCCGACCCTTCTCTACTCCTGTTCCGGTGGGTTGGGGGGACGGTAATTATTGCTTTCAAGGCGATGTCCATCGGCTTCTCTAAGACTACATGTTTGGACGGCAGGGGATGGACAAGCTTAGGGAATTTCAGGGGAAGGATACAGCTGAGGCTGCCTTGGGAGAGTCCTTAATAGTGGCGCTAGCTCTGCATGGCCCCCTGTTCAGGCACACACGCACACACACACACACTCACACACACAAACAAGCTCACACTAGTACACACGTACGCTTGCATCCCTTCTCGGGTGCTTGGGCAAGCAGCGGGCGAGAAGAAAGGGGAGGTCTTAGAGGCTGGATGCTTAGGGACAGGGACTTTGAGCGGGGGCAGTCCCTCCCGGGCTTGCTGCCAGGATAGCTGGATGCCCTGATGCATTTGATCTCTGAAGCGACAGGAGAGGCTGCTGTAGAGCCTTGGATGGGTTGGAAGAGGAGGGAGAGAGGTCTTTCCTCAGGGTGTGCTGGAGAGCTCTCTGTGCCCGAGCATTCCATTCCCTTCTCTCTTTCCTTTCCCTCCCTCTTTCATTCTCCTATAGTGAGACGCACACCCAGACCCGAGGTGGGCTCTTCTCTCCCGACTTCTATCAAGACTCGTATCACTGGGCATGTGTTTAGTGGGGGAAGCAGTGTCACTGCGCAAAAACTGGGTCCATGGGTGGAAGAGGAAAAGTGATCAAGGCATGAGCAGGGGAGGACTCTTAGTAGCTTTAGAGGCTCTCTAGACTCCAGTTTCTCTTGGCCACCAGGATGATGTGGGTTAATGGTCTTGGCATGCTGCTCGGAACTTGACTCTTCTTTCCAACTAGAGGGAGTCAAGGAGTCATGACTTGCTTTAGCTTGGAGCTTGCACGCCTCTCTGATTCTCTTTTGGGCATTTGGGTTTGGGGTTTGAGGGCGTGGAGGAGAGATTGAGTGGTTGGGAATGGACCTACATGTGCTTGGGAGAGCTCAGCTAAGGTTCGGGTGGGTGGTCTAGAATTTCATGAAAAAAACTATTGCTGAGATCTACTGAGGGGAGGGTGCATAAGTAGTTAGCTATTCTTGAGCCCTGAGGGCCTTTAAAAAAGTTTCTTCGAAAAGATGACATGAAAGTCAGCCACTGACCTGGGGCCCTGGGTCAACTCAATCCCAAGGGGCCTCTTCCAAAGACAAATCTTTATTTAAAATGTCGTTTGTTACATAAAATGGAGTTTTGGAGGGGGTCTCTCAGATGGGGCCCCTGAGAGAACTATTCCTTTTACCACTGTCAGCACATTTCTGCTGTTAGAGGTGGGAAAGGATTAGAGAGTGGAAGGGAGCTATTTACCTTAGAAAAGTTCATCATTCTGCAGATGCTAATAAAGAAAATTATTTTACTTGTAACTTCCATCTGTCTTGCTGTTGAATTACTAACCATAGACAAGAGACAAGGAGGTGCTAGAACTCTATCCCTTGTGTTCTTCTCTGTTCTGTGATCCCTTTGGATCTCTTGCTGTGAGGAGAACCTTCTGTCCTATTTGAGGAGGTGACAAAGCAGCAGGGATGTAGGCATACAGGCAAGCTCAATAAATGCTTGATTGAATGAATGAAGGTCACATGAACTCATCCTTGTCCAAAAAGGCTTAGATGATATGTGTGTGTATGTGTGTGTATGTGTGTGTGTGTGTGTGTGTGTGTGTGTTTCATTAGGCAGATGCTGGCAAGAGGTTATAGCTTTTCTGTATCTGCTCTTAAGTATTTAACTTCCTATTAAGGCACTAAAGTAACTTTTCCCTTTAGAATAACCCTGGGAAAATCTTACAAAATCTCCATTCAGCCTGGGAGACCCCTTCTGGTTCCAAGGGATCCTAGGCTAGAGTGAACCTGAACCTCCATTGTAGCCCTAGCCTCCTAGGGGTCCTTTAGATAGAACAACCTCCACCAAACCAGACTTCTCAGAGCCACCTGGGACAGGATTCTTTAGTCTTGCCCTGAAGTACTAGGGATGGCTTTAGAGCTGCTTCAGGAAGAAGAGAGGACCCTTTTGTCCTAAATGGTACTTGCTATTTCTCAGATATTCCTCTTAGAGACAATTAATAATTTCTCCAGGAGAATTAGAATTAAAGAATATTAGAACTGGAAAGGACCGTAGGGATTTCTGAGTCTAGGCATTTCATTCTAGGTATAGACTCTAAACCATTGCCATCATTTTACAGATGAGGCTAGTGAGAAGCATTGATGAGTCATTGAAAGAACCAGGACTAGAACCCAGATTCCTAATCCAGTGTTCTTTCCTCTAGACCAGTGGTAACAAACTCAAATAGAAACAAATCCCTGTAGGCGAATATTGACTTGAAAACCACAAATTAACATTATATATGTTGCATTACATTTTTATTTACTTTTTTTAGAAATTTACCAATTATATTTTAATCTGGTGTTGGGGGAGGAGAGTTTTGAGACCCTTTGGTGATGAGTTTGGCACCTCTGTTCAAGGCATTCTGCTATGCCACTTTCTCTAGTCTATAAGCCTTATACCTCTTCCCAAATTTATGGAACCAGCTAGGGCTCACCTTAAGAAAAGCTGGAGCATGTGGTCATCTATATGGGAAACCAACCTTCCACTTCTAAATATATGTCCCATACTACTTGAACTTCCACTATTAGAGATTCATTCCTTTGAGTTTAAAGGCATTCCAAGTATTAAAAGGCAAATACCCCATGCTCATTATGATTCTAGAGTCAAAATAATAATTCCCATTTATCTAATGCAGAAATGTTTAACCTTTTCTGTGTCATGGTCTCCTTTGGCAGTCTTGTGAAACTCAGAATAATATTTGTTGCCTACATACATAATAGAAAGAAATGCTAGATTTTAAATTTAATATATTTTATTTTTCCCCAATTACATGTTAAAACAATTCATAACTTTTTTAAATAAAGTTTTGAGTTCCAAATTCTATCCCTCCTTTCTTTCTTCCCTCCCTAAGATGGTAAGCAATTAGATACAGGTTATACATATGCAATTATGTGAAACATTTCCATATTAGTCATTTTGTACAAGAAGAGTCAAATAAAAGAAAAAGAATAAAATGAAATGAAAAATAGTAAGCTTCAGTTGGTGTTCAAACAATTTCAGTTCTTTCTCTGGAGGCAGATAATATGCTTCATCATTAGTCCTTTGGGATTGTCTTGGATCATTGTATTGCTGAGAATAACTAAGTCATTCACAATTCTTCATTGAATAAGTGGAGTAGCAATGTACAATGTTCACCTGGTTTGGCTCATTTCACTTTGCATCAGTTCATGTAAGTCTTTCCAGTTTTTTCTGAAATCATCCTGCTTGTCATTTCTTATAGCACAATAATATTCTATCACAATCATATACTGCAACTTGTTCAGCCATTCCCCAATTGATGGACATTCCTTCGACTTCTAATTCTTAGCCACCACAAAAAGAGCTGAAAGGCTACATTTTAACTAGAGATTAGTGAAAATTAAGTATTTTTTTTTCCTCATCCAAGGTCACCAACCCTCTGAAATTTATCCACAGATTACATAAGGGGTCCATGGACCCTGTGTTAAGAACCCTTGATCTAATGTTTGCACATTTTCCTCTCAACAGTGCTGTGAAGTAGGTATATACTAATTGTCTCTATTTTATAGAAAAGGACACAGAGTTTCAGAGAACTGAAGCGACAGGTTGACTAATCCAGCTAGTAAGTGGCAAAGTTAGTATGAAGCACTGAGTACTGGGGTAGATTGCAGGCGGTTCCCCAGTTGCTCCAAAATTCCAAAGACAACCAAGGTTATCTTAATTCTTGAATTCAAATCCAAGGATAGTGCCCCTTTCATTACATCATGACATTTTTCTTTTGCAATTTTTAGCAGTTAACCAGAAGAGTCACATGACTTTCATCTGCTGTAACATATTCAGGAATAGAAGTTAGATGTTTTGAAGAGTCAGGTCACCTACAAGTTGAGTGGCTGAACATTGCTGAACTAATACACTAGCTGGGGTTAGGACATTCTCTTTGGGAATGGAACCCAGGGTAGATTCCTATGGGGAAAGCAGGGGTCAGAAATGGGTTGAAGAACCAAAAAAGAGGTCACATGGGTCTGAATACAAATTTTGCCTATTCATAGGGGCAGCCATGGAGTCAACTACAGGAAAGTAATTGTCTTTCTCTTACAGAATAACAGAATTTCAAAGTTGGGAGGAACTACTGAGGCTATCCAGTCTAATCCATACTGGAAAAAGAATCCTCTCCCCAATAAGTGGTCATTCAGTCTTTTCTAGGAAACCTAGAATAAGGAGGAACTTATTATCTTCTTCTATAGATGCTTTCTTTTGAAAAAAGAATTTATATTGATTTTTACATCTCTTACATTTTCTCTTCCCTTCTACTGTCTCTCCACAGTACTATTCCATTACATTGCTGTACCAAAATTTAGTCATTCCCCATTTTCTGGGCATATAATGATAATAATAATAATAATAGCATTTATGTAGCACTTGAAGGTTTGCAAAGAACTTTACATCTATATCTCTATATCTATTGGTCTACTTACCCATCTACCTATCTATCTATCTAATCTCATTCGTGCTACTTCGTTTCCAGTGAATAATCTCTTCATGGCGGACCAGTCTTTCTTTTGGCTTGAGAGATACCATACTTACTTGGTTCCTCTCTTTCTCTGCTTCTTCTGACTCCCAGTCCTCTTTCTTCTCCCACAGTGGGAGTTCTTCTAGGTCTGCCCTTGGTTTTCTTCCTTTTTACTTCACTCCCTAGCAATCTTATTTGTGCTCAAGGCTTAAACTACTTCTTTTAGGATCCTAAGGTCATAGATCCCAAGACATTGGACAGATTTAGAACTGAAAGAACCCTAGAGACCATCTACTCTAAACCTCTCATTTTACAG